GCCGCGCAGTCATCGACAATTTTAGACGTCGTTTATATGAGTGCCGTGATCGGAATGGATTGCATTTAGACGATGTGATTTTTAAAACATAATTCCCATTCAATAAAGATGATAACAAAATATAATAATTCTTCATAATGTAATTAGTTTGGTTTTATTCCTTTTTTTTCCAGCTCAAAGGACTTATGGGCCACCCTGTATAAACAAACATACACACTTTCACATTTATCATATTAGTAGGGAAGTAGGGATATTCAATTACCACTATAAAAAGACGTCTTTCGTACCTATGCTATTTTCCTTTATCGCTACAATATTGGACATTTATTTGTTGTTCACCTTCATTATTCTTTTATTATTAATCCAACTTCTCCTCCCAGGATTTGTTAATGTGAGTAAAGCCGATGAGTTAGACAACTTACCGCCATACTTCGACGATAAGATATCACCAACGGCAGTGAAGGCAGAATATAGGTTGTGGTGTGCGAAGATATCGTCCATTGATCAATCAACCGGGGTTTTAAAACTGTTGGATTATTGCCATGGAAATTATTTTCACGGTACCTACCTGTCAGAGTACTTCTAACTACCTTAGCCACTTTGCCAGTGACAACAGCTAGCGTAGAAAGATGATTTTCCACTATGAAAATAATTAAAACTCTACCGCGAAGTGTTATGGGCCATGAAAGATGGAGTTCACTCGCTATGATCTCTATTCACTGGGATATTGCTCGCGATCCTGATCACGTCTTAGACATTTTATCGGAAAAAAATCTAGAAGATGACTTTTTTGATAGTCCAGGTCAAAGTTTTCGAGTTAAAGGGGTTATTCTCAGGTTTTTACCACATTATATTTACACATATACATAGATGAATAAATCTATAGCTCTACAATAATTTCATACATTTTTTTCCATTACATTGATTTATAAAATCATAAGCCTATGTTGACTCCTGTCCTTATTTCCTTTCCCCACTAATTCGTGCTTAACTCCTACCCTTCCCATAGCATCATCTTTGTAAGCTATTTTCAACATTAAAACAGTTTCGCCTCAAAAGTAAAAAGTAAAAAAATATTTCTATAAATTCAATAAAATGATTCGCTTATGAAGAAATGGTATCGGTTCATTAATCCGATTTACACTGTTAACCTAATACAAAAACCTCTTGATATTTATATCACCAAAAACTCTGGACGCTGCCTGTCTCATTTTACTAATCAACATGAAACATCCCGCGGTAATATAAAGGTCTAAAGGTGAGAGACACTTAGACGGCAATAACTTTCTAGGCCTACCTATTAATATACCTGCTGCACACAAGTGCTTTCCTTTTCCTTTGTAATACAGTAAACGTGAGTGTATCAAATATTAATACGAAAACCATATCAATATATTCGGGATTCCTAACATATTTAAATATATATTTTAGCGGAAAATGTAAACTGAACATTTTGCCGAAAATATACAATAAGGATATTCTAAACAATTAGCACCTCCCCAAGCAAAAGGGCCATTAAACAACGGAATTTAATGAAACCATAGGCGCCCGCAGAAACATTTCTAAGGGGGGAAGGGATAATCGGAAATATATATATTTTTGTGAAAGTGCACCTACCCCCAAATTTTTTGAAGAGAGGGGTCGTATACGTATATTTGTTATTTTTATGCAGACAAGAACATCATCAGTGACTCGGAATGATACTTTGAAGGCCGGGATATTAAAACTCGCGAGCCTTCGATCCGATTCGCTAGCGGTTGGCTGTGTAATGTGTAACATACTTGTTTACCCAATAACCTTCTCGCGACAATGTCTAGCCCTGTTACAAATATCACTTGTTTTAGCTGAAATTCCTTCTCAATGAACGAAATATCTACCCCAAATGTCATGTTTATGGGTTAAATTATTTCCGATATTTCGTGATTAATGTGCATATTTTTGCTTCTATATATACCAAGTGACATATAAATCCGAACACCCAGTTTAAATGGGTTTATTTTAATAAAATTTTGTATAAGTACTTATTGATGCATAATAAGTAAATGATAAAAATTTCAAAATGATTGCACTGCTTTAAAGCCCTTTGACCTTTAATAATGTGTGGATGCACCCTGATGTGCTACGCATTCTCCAACGCGCCTAGGCATGCTTCTGATCAGGTAGTCAATGTCCTCCTGTGGTATCTCATTCCAGGCAACCACCAACTCCTCTCCAAGTGCTTCTAGAGTCTGAGGAGGACGCTGCAAATTGAGCAATCTCCTACCCATCATATCCCACACGTGCTCAATTGGGGATAAGTCGGGAGATGTTGGTGGCCATGGTAACAATTTGACATCATTATGTTGAAAGAAGTCTATTGTGACTCTTGCAACATGTGGTCGGGCATTATCTTGTTGGAAAGTTGGATCTGCCAGGGTGTCAAGATAGGGTAAAAGATGGGGTTCTAGAACTTCGTGGATATAACGCTGCGCATTCATGTTACCTCTGATGAAGATTAAAGGTGACCTGGAACCATAAGCTATAGCACCCCAAACCATAACTCCAACAGTGTGATGAACATGTCTTTCAACAAAAAACTGTGGATTTCTCCTTTCACCACGTCGCCTTCTAACCCTGGCACGACCATCGTGCATGCCTAAACAAAATCGAGACTGGTCACTAAAGACAATACTGTTCCATTCCTGATCCCAGAGTGACCGTTGTCTGCACCACTCAAGGCGATTACGTCGGTGTTCTCGAGTTAAAGGGAGGACCCAGTGTGGCCGGTATGAAAACAAGCCAAAACTTCTCATTCGTCGGTAAACACTTCGCATGCCAATAGGTCTTCCGTGTTCTGTAAACCATTCATTTGCAATGGACCTGGTAGTGGAGAAACGGTCCCTTAAGGTCAATAATCTTAGGCGGCGATCTTCACGGTCTGTTGTTCTACGGCGGCGTCCAGTGCCCCTTGCTCTTTGCGTACGGCCTTCTCGAAGCCATGCCTGACAACACCTAACCACAGTGTCTACACTTCTTTGCACTCTAACTGCAATTGCCCGAAAAGAAAGTCCAGCTTCCCGAAGTCCCACTATACGGTCCCTATCAAACTCACTAAGTTGACGAAATCGCACAGGTCTCCGTACTCTAGGCATCGTAACCGATCGTAAAGGATGTCAAGAACCAAAATCCGCCAACGTTGATTCTTTACTGCGGCTGAAATATTCATTTTTAGAGCGTTAGTGAATTAAAAAAAAGCAGTATAAAAACCGGAATGTCCAACTGATAAGGTTGAAAATTTTTTCACTTGTTATTTACAGTAAGATAAATACATTCACCAACTTTTATTAAAATAAAACCATTTAAACTGGGTGTTCGGATTTATATGTCACTTAGTATATATTTGCGTTTAGCTCCCTTCATCCGGCGCTCCTGTAAAACTGACAAGTTCTGTCCATAAACTACCTACCTACTAAATTTCATGTTCATAGTCAAAGAGTTTCCGAGATTTCGTGACTAAGAAGCGAATATCTCTGCCCATAACCCTGTTGAAACCCATATCTGCACCTTGCTTTAAAAAAATAATAGTTTCCTCATAGTGTATATAATTATTTTTCTTTAATTTTGATTTTTAAAAATAACATTTTTGGTACCTTACTTGTTCAACTTTCTTTTTCTTTTCATATTAATGAAATTGATTTAACGTTTTGTTAAATAAATATAGTAAAAATATCCCCAATTTAAAATATATCAAAGATTGAAATTAGAAGGCTATAGTTTCCCAGTACGCCAGGGGGTCCAACACTTTTGATGATGTGTGTACTATCAGGATTTTGATGAAATGTTGACCTTAGGTTATTACTATGAAAATGAAGAAAAAGCTGTGCAGTTTTTAAAAATCGGTACTTTGGCGGCGGAGCTAGCGTTGAAAATCAAACAAAAATTTTCGTTTTTGAAGACAGATCTGAAATTATTTTTCGGCGCTCGAAAGAATTGTTTCATCGTTCATTTTGTATAATTTTCCCTTCAGTTGTAAAGGTTCAAGCGCGACACTGACACGGATATTAGCACCACCATGCGTCGAATGTCCAAGACTAAAAAGTTCATGCTATCGTCTATCGTGTAGGAGAAGGAGACACACTTGTTAATCGTGTGGTGTCGAACGTTGTAAACAACGTTGTATACAACGTTGGAGGCATCCTGTGGGACCCGCATTACTATTTTAGTTAAGAAATTGTGACTTTGCGCAAGCTCAGTAAAGTTTGGAACAATTCATATCTTATATTGCCATAAATTACCGAAATAAATTATTCTGTGATTTGTGTGTATTGCTTTGATGAAACATACATTAATCAAATTCAAGCGGATAACCAAATGAAAATGGTATTTACCATTTTGGGTTGGTATTTACCGATCCGTTAAAGCGAGTGTGGTTATCAGTTTGGTTATAAGATCCGTGACGTCATGAATCAGCTGTTATATGTCATAGTTATCACCGCAAAATTGTGATATTTACCCAACTCAGGAGTAGTTTTATATTTCTGGTTATTATTTGAAATGTGACAAGTTAGAATTTTGCCGGGTATTGGATATTGTTATTGTACTTCAGCTTAATTTTTGGGAAACGTGATACAGGCTGACTTCAGTGTTAGCATAAAGTGGAGCACCTTATTAGTTATACTCATTACTGTAGTTGGGAACCCTTTCAATTTAGTTCCTATGTTTAACAAAGTATCCTGTGTAGCTATATACCACAAGAATATTAAAATATGGCCATTTAACTCACTGGATGATGTCCACCTGTATACGGTTTTACTAATATCTTTTTCCATCGTTTTTTCATCATTTCTGCTAAATCAATAAATGTTTTCTTTGACATGCGGAAAACTTTAGAGAATTAAAAGTTATCATAGCTACAAAACCATGGTTCCATCATTGAAAAATTTTTTCTGAAAAAAAAACATTTCTCCCATGAATATTATGAACGGTTTCTTATTTAAACTTTTCATACACCGTTGTAGACAAAAAAGCACCGATTATTAAGTGTTAATAAAAATAATCAGAGATTATATACGCACTTTTCTAAAATAAACAACTTGCAACAAAACCGCGGTTAAAACCAACGCGTTCAAGCGATTCGTGTAACTGACGTCATCAACCGGTGTGTCATCTTGAACCATATTATAACCGCGGCACATAACACAGAAATTTTGGTTATTCGCTTGGATTTGATTATTCATTCTTTTTATCACCCCAATTCTCCATATTTCATTGGTTGAAGTTTATAAACTATTTACATTTTTAAATTTTTCTACAATAATAGATTTTTCTGGAACATATGCACGTATATTTCCGAGATAAAAACAAACTGTGGGTTAGTTACCATATGTGATTGATATGGCTTGGAATTTTTAAGCAGAAAGTACAGAAACTAGAGGTTTTTAATAGCTTTAACCTTACAGACGTGGACTTTGATATACTGTTGATATGAGTATTGGAAGCTGGTTGCAACAGAAGTATTAATAATTGTATTTGAATCAGATCTTGCTACCTAGAAATATTGATAAACATTTTAACTGTGAACTACAACTATGTCTTCCTTGGTGTCTTCAATACAAGTTTTAGCCAGAAGGACACATTTTACAATTGTAAGTTTTTTCTATCTTAATTTCCTCCATTTATAGTTTGGAATATTTTTAGGTTCAAGTCCGTCACTTAAATTTGTTAGAATATCAAAGCAAACACTTGCTAAGAAAAAATGGGGTAGCTGTTCAAGATTTTTGTATGGTCGATGTGCATGGTACAAATGAATTGGATAAATTCAGTAAGTTTCAAGCTTAGATATAAGGAATGTGGCCAACTACCTTAAAGATATTCTATTCTGAGTCTAAATCAAACTACTAGAAAATATTATTATTTGTTTCTCACATTTACATTGTCTTTAGTGATGAATATTTCAAATAGCTAAATGAGCTTTGCTGTATCGTTTCTCAGAACCTACAAGGTAATCCAGAAGATGAGGTCACCTATTTTCTTATGATTCAAAAAGCTTAACATTGGTCTACTTTTCTAAATAAGCTGTGGTGGTTATACCCACTTGCTGCCATATCCTTGAGGATTCACTGAACCTCATGTTTCACTTCATTATCAGAACTGAAACTCTTTTCAGCTTAGGGATTAAATTGTAGTGAGAACTGTGAAACACTGGAAAAAACTTGAATGTGGAGGAAGCAAAGAAGATATATGTTGAGCTAGGGCATAAGCATTTCCCACGAAAATGCTCTGCACATGTTGCTTGTCAAACAGTCGCTCTTCTGCAACAGTTTGGATGGGAGATCATCAGTCACAGATCCTATATAGTCTAATGATATTAGCAAATTTATTGTATTGATGCAAGTTGTTCAAGGGGGTATGTAAAACATAGACATAATGAGAAAACGTGTTTTTTGGGACTCAATTGAAAGTGTTGGCAGGAATGAAAAAACTCTACAAATAAGATTTTTAGGTATTTATGAGACCTAAAAAATGAGACTGTACGTAAAAAGATCTGACTAATAGTAAAAAAGTTATTGCAAAACACTGATGCAAAATGCAGGTTTTGGCACTTGTTGCAAATGCGACGATAATTTCACGCAGCTACTTGAACGAAGGGTTACGTTTTTTTCTTCTAAACAAATTCATTTTGTGAATAACTGAACAGATACGCTACAATGTTTGAAAAACATACATTATGATACACATTTTTAAAACAAAGCGGATGTGTCTATCTCCTGTTGTTCTGAAGAAAACAATTTTTTTTGAAGATTTCTTCATACTCTTGTGCATACATATTTAGAGCTGAAATTTTTACATGATCACAGATGATCCTAAAAGCTATAAAATGCCCTTTGAACGAACCCTGTATACTGCTCAGTAAACTAGTAGTGATGGCTGGAATACATATGTTTTGGGATAAACAATTAGAAATTCTCAAAAACTACTTGACCAATCGACTCCAATTTTGTTGTGGTTATTTAGAAGTCTAAAGCCTACGGATTCAAGTAGCTGCGTGAAATTATCTTCGCATTAGCGACAAGTGCTAAAACCTGCATTTTGCCTCGGTTTTCGGCCATAATTTTTTCAATATCAGTGGTATATTTCTACATGTAGATGTAGATGTCATAAATACCTAAAAATCTCATTTGAAGAGTTTTTACGTTCCTGCCAACACTTTCGATTGAATCCCAAAAAATAGGTTTTCTCAATCTTTGTTGTTGAATAAAAAGTTTTCCCACAAAAATTGGTCTACCCATTTTATGCGTCCATGTTTTAAATACCCCTTGAACAACTGGCATCAGTAAAAGAGACTTTACAATTATTTCACAAACCAGGGGTATTTTCATTTATTATGATTAGACTAATACTCCAGACTTGGCACTCATTGATTACAACGTGCAACGTGCATATAAGAACTGCCACAGTCTCTATAAAAATGCAATGTTAGAGCTTTATAATGATGTATCATTTATTGATAACAATGCTCTTGAAATTTAAAATGGTGTCAAGTAGGTTGATTCTGTACTTCTCAAGGCCACTGAATTTATTGGTGTTTTTGGGTGCTAACCAGGGAGCAAAACTTGAGATGTAATGGTGTGAATGGAACATATCAGCATTTCAATTTGTCTGATTGGTGTATGTGATTACCGAGACTAGAAGCTTTTTAATAATAGAATGTTTTTCACTTACAACCCTCTACCCACTACAATCCCCAACCCCCAATTTTTAAAATGACCAGGAACCTCTGAAATGTGAAAAGACAAAGTTTCAGCGCCAGTGGCATGGAAAATAAAAATAGTGGACCTCACTTTTGAGATTATACTTTCAGTACGTAGTTTAAACCATTATCTCGATATTGCTATAAATATGCCATGAATAAAAATATATGCGTTTCTTATTAAACAATTGGTTCATTGTAATTATATTTGTTATATTATACAAGATAAGATTAGCTGTTATGAGTTGAAACAAGGAATTATTTTCAGATGTGAAGGAATATGTTGTGAAAGCTCAAATTCTTGCTGGAGGCAGGGGTAAAGGCCATTTCGACAATGGCTTCAAGGGTGGTGTACACATAACAGAAAAGTAAATATATGAAATATTTTTAGAGACAGTCCTGTATGTTCAACTGGCCGCCAAATGAAACCACAGATATGCAAATGAAAGCTTACTAATCTTTAAGCTATACCCCATTCATAGTCCATTTATGCCCAGACAAAACACAACATGCCAAAAAGCGAGGTTGTACAGGTCCGTATTTTCCTCAATGGTCTTGCAATAATCTAAAAAAATAAATGTTTATTTTTATAGAAAGAAGTGCACATACTTTTCAGAATTCTTTATTCACTGGAAGCACTTGAATCATCGTCCGAATGGTTAATATTAATTATTACAGATTCAATTTGAATATCGATCATATTCTCCAGATCCCACATCTTTGTTTCGATTGTCTCTTGAACGTGACAGATGCAATCTTTCCAATGGTTTGCCGTCACTCTGTTGGCAGCTTCGTAAAACAAATTTCTCACGTCAGAAAATTTGAATGTTCTATTGTTTGAAGCCATATAGTAGTAGTTTTTTATATTTGCCCAAATCATTTTAATGGGATTTAATTCGCAGTGATAAAACGGTCTTATTTTCGTTTGTAGACATTTCATCAATAACATTAAGATTATATTTATATTTGTGCTGTCTGTCTAGATGGTCTAGAACTTCTGCTTTGACAATATTTTCATTGAAACTAATGTCTTTTGATAAGAGCTATTGTTGAATTTCTGCCTTTCTTGGGGACATTGTGGGAAATTTTTCTAGTTTCCTAGTGTGGTATGCAGCATTATCAAGTACAATGATGGCATTGTCATTTAGCTTTGGGAGCCGTTTCTGCAAACCAACGTTCAAATCAACTCCCGTCCATTTCTTCATGGTAGTCGGTCGTTTTCTGTGACTCAAATGCCCATAGGGCAACGGGCACAGAACCGTCTTTCATATAGTATTCAAGAAAACTAATAATAATGCAAGCAGAGTCTCTAACGGGTGTTGGTTCCAAATCTACCAGATATAGCTAAGTTTTCAGCTTGAGCTCACAGATTCAGTTTACTTGACACCATTTTTATAACACAAATGACGAATTGGTTTGATACACGTACCTGACGGATTCTTTAGGCCAGTGGTTACTCCATCTAAGCAGGCTTGTCTTGCTGATTTAACTGTAGAGTCAGCCCATACTTTAAGTTTTGCATGTCCTGCATTCATCCAGGTGTCATCAAAGTAATAAATCTTCCTGCCCTGGTCGCGGTATTTCTTTATTGATTTTAAATAATTTCTTCTCTATAAAATAATCTCGGCTGTCCATCAAAATACTATTTCTGCCCTGTTTTCTATTCTCAAAATGAAGTTCTTTGAGTAAACTATAGATTGTGGTCTTTTTGAAAGTAGGTAAGTCTTCATCACTATTAACCTCCTGTAAAACTTTCCCTATAGTGGGAAGTTCCGGCCTTTCAGAAAATTGATGGGCTTTGCGTCTGATGGCATTACGATCAAAGTTCTTAACTGTATCCAACAGCTTCGTGTAATGCAGCCTCTTGCTTGGTGGAGAAATTTTGTTGTTCTTTTTATATTCTTTAACAATGTTGAAGATTGTCTTAGGACATAAGCCACACGTCTTTCAATATCATGAATTTTCATTTCAGGATGCTCTAAGATTTCGCTCTCATAAACGTTAAGGACAATTTCTTTTGCCTGAATATTCAAATGTCCTTTCTTGTCATGTTTTCGGGGTAGACATCACTGAACAGGAAGCATGGCTGAAGGAAGCATTGGGAGAAATATTATCAGTTTCATTTACTGTATCCGTAGACTACATGCTAACGTGTAAACATACGCTATGTATAGTATGTACCGAATACGAGTAGCAACTGCCGGCTTCGGCATTCCTGCCATACCCCGAGCCTGAGTTCTATCCTGCCGAATCCTGCACTTGTTCGTAGTTTTATGGCCGAATGACCAATAGCTATTGCAACGCTTAGGCGGCTGCCACTTTTCCGGGCTGCATCTTTGTTGTGCCGGGGCGTAAATGGACTTCGAATATTGGATGCATTGGCTTTGAGTTGATGGAAAAAAAAACAAGAAACCAGTCTACTTGATTCTGTTAGAATTAGAGTCATGAGATTTACAGTGAATTGCACCTTAATAATTAATTTTTGTATAATTTTTCAGCAAGGAGGAAGTTCCGAAATTGATAAACCAAATGTTAGGGTACAAACTAATTACTAAACAGACACCAAAAGATGGAATAGAAGTAAAAAAGATAATGATAGCAGAAAGTGTGAACATTAAGAGAGAAACCTACCTCTGTATTTTAATGGATCGTCAAATGAATGGTCCAGTGATTATAGCATCTCCTGCCGGTGGCATGGACATTGAAGCTGTTGCAGAAAAAACTCCGCATTTATTGAAAAAAAGTACCTGTAGACATCTTTGAAGGTATAAACTAGTTAGGACTCCCCTTTTCAGAAAGAATTACGCTTGAAATATCCAAGCTAATGATTGTTAAGTTCCCCCCCAAAGGATCAGCGTAAAAATATACCCAGGAAATTCACTAATATTAAATATTTTGTATCCTTTCCACCCTGGTCACATACGTTCCCTCTGTAATCGTCCTTGCTGCTATTGATGCTTGAGAGGTGCCAACAGTCACTCTACTTGGATCCCTTTTTTAAGGTGTAACGGATCAGATGGCTGAAGACATAGCTGCATTCTTAGAATTCAAAGGAGATCTTAAACAAAAAGCTGCAAAGGAAATACAAAGTTTATGGAAATTATTCTGTAATGTTGACGCAGTTCAGTTAGAAATTAACCCTCTAGTGGAGACTGATGATAAAAAAGTGGTAGCTGTTGACGCTAAATTGAATTTTGATGATAACGCAAAGTTCAGACAAAAAGAAATATTCGCCATGGACGACGTTTCAGAAAGTGATCCTAGGGAAGTTGAAGCTGCGAAATATAACCTCAATTATATAGGAATGACTGGAAATATTGGGTATGAACTTTTTGAACGCTTGTAGTATGATAGAAAGGTGTTCCAAATTGTAAGTAATTATAAGTTGGCACGCCATTCTATCATACTGCAGCTGTAGATTTTTAGGTTGTTATTCAACAGGATGGCCAATGTATAACCACGTGATTTAAATTGCGCGCCATTTTTGATACACGCATTTCAGTAGGTGGCGCCGTCGTAGTTGCTTAAAGCACATGTGTCCAATTCATCATGAAGCGTTACACGATCCCAAAACGCGTCCATATTGTTAAAACGTTGTACTTGAATAATGAGTCGCTGTTGCAACGATGCGGTCGAAATAATGTGTCCAGTGTCAACACCATTCGTCAGTTGGTGCGGAACTGGTAAAGTTAAAGTCTCAAGGTCGGGCCGTTCATACTCCGGAAAATATCGAGAAAGTTCGCGAAGGTGTAGTGCACCGCCCTGAGACGTATATGAGATATGGTTCTCAAGAACTGGGTATTCGTCGCATGTCATTATACACTATTTTAAAAAATACTTGTATTTGCGGACATACAAAATTCAGTTAACCCAAGAACTACAGCATAGTGACCATGAAAGTCGCCGACAATACAGTTATGCAAATTACAGCTTAATACCAAAATAATGATTTTTACCGACAACTGAAAATGAGCAATGAAGCCCACTTCGATATAAACGGATTTGTTATAAATATTCCTCCTGAAACCTACGAAAAAGTGATGGAAAATGTAATCAAGAGGGCTCAGGTTTACGCCTCTTCTAGAGACGGACATTTGATATTATTTTTCATACATAAGTTTCAATAAAATGTTAAGATGAAAAAATTGACGTTTTTTATATCATTTCACAAATATCCAAGATACCAACCAGTCAGTTACATATCGGCCACCCTGTACCAAAGTTACAATCAAAGAGTGGTATAAATAGAATACCATTAGACAAGCGAAATAAAATTAGATCGAGATAAGAGATGACTTCAAGAACATGGCGTCCACAAAACAGCTGGTGGCATCTAAACACGGCTGTTGTAATTTAGTCGGCGTTGTTGCCAGAGATGTTATCCTTTTTGGATGATTTCATTGACCATCATTTGCACTGAACGCATTTGTTGTTGGTTTTTGACACATTCAACCAAATATTGCGCGAGCTGCTTTCTTATGTTTTAATTTAGTCCTTTGCAATTCTTGAAAGCAACACTTGAGATAATATATGACATACAGCTAAACTAGTTTTGTAGAATCTTTAGGAGGATGTCTACCTAGTTTGTTCCAGAATGATTTGAATAACAATTTTGTCAGATTTTCATCGTTGTAATCTCCAAAACGGTGAGAGATACGGGTCGCTAGAATGGTGGCAAAGTTCCTTATTTATATATGTACTTCAGAAAATGCATTTGACAAGTTTTGACCCTTCCAGTATCTTCAGAGATACATGGAAACGGGAACGAATTTTCCAAAAATCGTATCTAATTTCTGAATTTATTTGAGATAGGATTTCAAAATAAACTGCACATTGACATTGCCACTTTTTGATCTCTGCAAGGTATCATAAATAATTCGTATCCCCCATCTCCACTTTGATTTTTCTTATGTATGCCATTTTTCTGAGTAATTCTTGAAATTGTAATATAGTCATTTCTTTTACAGGATCTCAAAGATAATATGTTACACATTGATATAAAACTTCAAGTGCCTAACTTCATATAGTTGGTTTAACTGATCGAATGAGGAACAACATTGCGTAACTCATTTATATTATTTAAGGGTAATAATGAAGACATTGAAAACGGTATGATTTCAAAAAAATGAGAGCTGTAACGTGAGATCAAAAATTCTAATTATGCCACAGTGCAGAAGACAAACAAGTGGTGGTGTGATTGTGTAATTTGTTTGAAATTTGTAGACGACTTAGAGTAAATACTTAGAATTTCCAAACTGTCCAAGTTCCATTTTTTATTTACCTAAAGCAACTTGCCCCATAAAGTACTCTGTGTCGTTTAAGCGAATGTCACAAGATCAGTATTTACTGTGATCCGTCAGTAACATTCGTTTTTCCGTTACCGAGATCCCAAACGCGAGGTTCGAATTTGAAACACACGTAACATAATAGTACTTTTTAGCAAAATTAAGTTTATATCTAACATAGATGTCAGCTAATCGTAGTAATTTTCTCATCAAATAGATATTGATTATCTTGTGGAGAACCCTTCATGAATAATTCAATTATTGTAAAAAATGTTCTCTCCATTTAGTTCTTGCCGAGCTAAGGAAGAAGGGGGGCAGCTGTCCCCTCCTAAGTGATACGCCCTAGGTAGCCAAGGACATAGATAGCTTTTTATTTGTGAACCAGTAAATAGTCCAACAGCGGAACGCAGAGTTTTCGGTTGCATCGCGTACTGATATGGCATGTTAAAACTAATAAAAATCTTGGGTTTGTCTATCATCAAATACCTAAGATTTGGCTAGTTTTTATTGTCGCATACCAGTACGCGATGATGTCACAAGAAATGTACGAGCGTCTTCCCTACTATAATGCAAACGACTCCCAAGGTCAGTTGGGCCGACTGGTGGATTACACATTCCTAGATGTGTCTTTTTATATAACTGCTCTTTGGTTATAACTAACTCTTTAACTACTTCTATTATCAGATATTAATGAATAGCACACCATAATGCTGGCGGAAGTCTTTCTTCATTTTAGATTTCTATGTGTACGAGAGAGACAGAGAGAGAGAGAGAAAAAGTGAGAAGCGTGTTAGAAAGAATTCGCCATATAAATGTCGTCATCACATTGCCTCTCATCGACAGTGGAGGAGGGTGCGCAGCGCGTCTGTAACTCCTCCCCCACTTTCATTGCCAGGGAACGTGGTGACGACGCCTATATGGCGCACTCTTTCTCGCACGCTGTTCCCTCTGTCTCACGTACACATCTACAGAAATCTAAAAGGGAACACGACTATGGCCAGCACTGTATATTCACTAATTTTTAGGTGTTTGGTGAATGGTGCTGGTCTCGCTATGGCGACAATGGACATTATTAAACTCCACGGAGGGGATCCAGCTAACTTCTTAGATGTGGGCGGTAGTGTAAAAGAAGAACAAGTATGTGCTGCCTTTAAAATAATCACCTCCGACGAAAAAGTGAAGGCTATCCTGGTTAATGTTTTTGGTGGTATTGTTAATTGTGCTACCATCGCTAATGGTATTGTCTCCGCAATGAAAACTACTCAGCTCAAAGTTCCTTTAGTAGTAAGGTTGGAAGGAACAAATGCCATTGAAGCAAGAAGATAATTAAGCAATCAGGACTTGACATCATTACTGCTGAGGACCTTGATGATGCTGCCAGAAAGGCAGTTGCGAGTATAAAATAGAATATTGCAATAGTTCTACTTTGAGATGTATTTTATATCATGTTGCATTTGTTATACAGTTTACATAATAAATTTTGATTTTATAACATACTTTCTTACTTTATTCAAGGTAGGATTTGCATATGGTGAAAAATAGAAAATCTCTGAGATAGCCTGTCTGGGAAACCTCCTATGATAACCTTGACAAAAAAAACGTCATTGATCAGCATCATTTTATAACATCGTCACTATCAACACATCTCCATATTTATTTAATAAGATAAAATTTAGACATGATGTCCATAACCTAAATGTCCGTAGTAACTTCTTCGCTTCTCTCCTCCTCTACACAGAATTTTTAGATTTGAGAGATCATTTACATATAATGCTTATTGGATATATAATGCAATCCCCTTCTATTTTGAAAATCCATGCGCCAAATCGTCGAAATTCAACAATAGAAAGTATTACAAACTGAAAAATCAAATAATGTCTACATATATTAGCCTTATAATAATTCTTCAATGATTAATCCAGCAGAACCCATATCGTCTGTCACTTTTTTTTCCTCTTCTGAATCTTATTCAGTCTCTAATATATTGTGTGTCAGGGAAATAATATTCGTAGCTTTAAGAGTTGATTCCTTACATTATTCTAAGCAAAAAAGTTCATTATAACTTATGTCCGAAAATCGATCGTTTTCGAGGAAAGTGAGTCGTAAATAATTAAATTTTCTCAAACATTTGGCAACGTTGCAACGCAACCGCGATACGAGCGCTCGACGAGCGCAACTGATTCATCAAATTGTTTTCGTTTGTTGAAAATATGGCTTGAATTATTGAATACCTTTACGCAATTTTTTTGGCTAATATTTTTTATTTAATGACGGTTTCAGTACAGTACATTTACTTACAAAAAATGTCAGAACTTACCGGTACGTGGCACACCACCAATTCCCATGATTATCAGTCGCTTATTTGAAACGATGCGATGCACGAAAAAAGAAAAAAACAACATCCGTAAATCACACAAAGTTACAGTTACAACACGCGATGATACATGCAGTTCAGGCGGAGTACGACGTTGCCAGTTGTGTAAGGGATTTTGTTTGTCTGTTTTTTTTTTTCGGAAAATTGTATTTAATAAGCAAGAAAATTATTTTGTTAGCGACAGTTAATTAATAAATAGATGTATTGATACATTTTACCCTATTAGGCAAATTAAAATTTAAATTATTAAGGTGCAAACTTAATTTATTTCATGACTAAAAAGAAACAAATTCAGCATTTTTTTGCTCCGAAACCAATTATTTTCGGACAAAGGTTATAATGAACTTTTTTGCTTACAATAATGCAAGTAATCACCTCTTAAAGTTACGAATTATTTCCCTAACACACTGTATATTTATTTAATCAAGTTACTTCGCTTATTTTTACAGCATAATACTCATATTTTTTTCAACAGGGTCAGGCACTTTTATCAGTTCTTCTTTGTTAGCCCTTTTTGCAACTGGATTTATTATTTCCATGTGTTCTTGTAATGACTTTGTTGTAATTGAATAAATTTGTTCATTATTACATTTCCTTTTATTGTTTCTATTTTGATCAGAAACAAAAAATACCGTACAAAGACAAGAATTTTGGTACAGTGATAAAAAAGCTATACAAGACGTACATTTGCTGTATGAGTAACGTCTAAGGACTAAGCAAAAACGAGACGTGCGTTCACTGTTAGTTCTGAGCAGAAGGACCAGCTGGGGAGATTCTTTCAAGCGGTTGGAATTTTAACTTTACCATCTATATATATATCTTTGAAGTGTTGACACATGTGAAATCTAAATTAGCTGAGTTTCCAAAATTAAACAACCATAATAAGGACTCGACTAGGAATTCGCTTGTCCTGCAGATTCCTGCTCATAGACTGTCAAAAAAAGAAGTAAGCGTAAATCAAACACATACTATTCTTTGGACGAATATTTCTTAGATATCCAGCCAGATTAAGATGCTAAACTATTTCAAATGTCAGCTCTGTATTAGCCTCATATGCATTTTCTACTGTAGCATATTATTTATGATTCTTGTATTTTATTTATATAACTTGGCCAAATTATTTTAATATGTACAGTGTTGTATTTCTTTGATCATTGTTTATGTGACTGTCATATATTTCATATGTGTATTGTTTTGTTTTATTTATATCTATTTTTGGGATGCTTTTGGTAATTTTCAAAATAGAGAACCTTGACGTGTTCTTTGTCATGACAAATGATCTACAGAACCAATAAAGATTATTTATTTATTTATGTATGCTTGTATGCATTCGAGAACAAATGGTTAACCGATAACACGTGCCCCCAAATATTCAATGTGAGTCAAAATCTTCATATACAAAAAATTAGCAAAAGATGAGATCTAAGTTGGTAAGAGAAAATTTCATTTTAAATCGTGTGGTCTACTTGTGAGCCTCTCTTAGTGAAGGAACAGTGAGTGCAACAACCGTCAATTAATTCATTCAAGAATCAGCTGGATATGTAACTGGAAGATATCAGGGCTGCACGTTTCGTGCATTATCCAGCGTGACTACACTAAAATGGCATCGGACCTTTCCTCCTGCTGTTGTAGTCTCATCAGTAGGTTACATAGATTGATACATCCAGTGTCCCAATACGTTAAAGCTATAACTCGTAACTCGTACTTTTCATTTCAGAACTCTGACCACTTTTCGTTTGGCGATTGATTAGTCTTATATTATGCCAATATTCGCTGATCAGCTTTATATTCTGATGTAAATAGTGTCAATGTGTGAGGAAAAATATCTATCAAAATAAAAAGAAGGTACCGCAAAAGATGTCCACTCAGTCTCAAAAATAGATACGCTTTCGGCCTGTCCGACTAACTGCAAGGCACAATGGTTATTTGTATTAAAACCAGAGCAAAATACCTCTTCCAGAGGTATGGCGTTCCCCATACTAAATTAGCACAAAACTACACCGAATAGTACTATTCGTTTTGAATGACGAACAGTCACAGTCTTTTGTTTTATGTTACAGCGATTACAGATAATGCAACGATTGAGTTCGAGTTGTCTTTTCTGTAGCAAAAACACCACACAAAAGACAACTCCAGGATAGTGTACTTTTCATTTCAGAACTCTGACCCCCTTCGTTTTGAATTGGTTACGCCTATGCAGCAAAAGCTGATAAATAATATCCTCTCCATGACGTTCGTGAACCTTCGGAACTGTCTGACCAGTGGTGCCGGGCATATTTTGCCGAAGATTCACGAATGATAAATTTTCATGGAATGGGCTTCGAAAGGGGATAAGTTTCTCTAATCATTCAATATCCTTGCGAAATGCAAAAAATAATACACAGTATGGAAAGGAATAAA